GCCAGCTCCAGCTGAGGAGCGAGAGAGCCAGTGGCCTGGAAGCACAGGCTGCACACCCATCAGGCAGGGGCCAAAGGGCAGAAGTGGGTGGGACAGCACAGGTGCAGGTAGCAGCACAGCAAGCCCGTCCTGAGGCAGGGAAAGAACGGGACAAGAACTGCTCTTATGTGTCCTCAGAACTCTGTGACCACACAGGGGAGGGAGCGGCCAGGGTGGGCAGGGTCCCCACCCTCCACACAACATAGCTGCTGGCCAGGGAGGTGCAGGAGAAGGGGTGCTGCCTCCTGACTCACCCAAGCAAGCCAACAGTGGCCCAGGTGACCCCTCACAGTAGACATGGGCTCCACTAGAAGGTTGGTTTTTCCAAAAGCTGACTTTGAGGCAAAAACTGAGCTGCAACTGGCTTTTTTAGATGTGATCCTAGAAAACACCAGAAAGGCAGTAGGGGGTGAAAATGGAGAGAAACAGCAGGTTAGAAATGTGGGTGACTAGGGTTCAGTCGTGCTGGGTGCCCCTCAGAGACTGACTGGGCCACACCTCAGTGTACCTCCCGGGGTCAGAAGGCCCAAGTATTGATCCTCCAACTTCTGCCATTGGCTGAGGGCTCCTCCCAGGGCCATTTCCTCCCCAGCACTCAAGCCTACCCCTCACGCACAGAGAAAGCTCAGATGGCTGCAGGTGGCCCTGCCAGAGGAGCCTCTGGGTGGGCTGTCACTCAGGTGGCCTCTGAGCTTCACCATCTCTCATGACGTGTCCTAAGTTAGAGCCTGAACCCATGTCACTGCTGACATTTGCCTGACTGGCCTCCAGCTGCACAGCAGGGCTGTAGTCACCACATTCAGCTTTCAGAAAGTGCCTCTTTCTGGTCATGTTATTCCCTTTCATCACTTCAGCCCACCACACACATACACACACATCAGCTGGAAGAGCTGCCTAACACTAGAAGAAATCTCATCATCCGCCCCCAAGGAACACACAAAAAAGCAAAAAAGCCACAGAAATGAAGTCAGTGGGTCCACTGTGTTGTTGAAATGCCTGGCAAGTGCCTTTCCTTCTTCTTTAAAATGAAAGTGGACATGGAAGAATGTTCTAGAAGATTATTAGATATTCTTGCACTCTGTCTTCAGCATAGTGAGTTCAAATAGCCATGGTTTGGATCTTACAATAAAGGTGCAAAGAAACATCTAAAAGAGAAAAAAGGTAAATTAGGTTATATTTTTTAAGAAATGAAAAAGAAAAAAAAGACAAAACCAGAAATTTCTATTTCCAGAATTCTGCTTCAGGAGGGCTACGAGGCTGTCTGAGAAAGCCATGCCCTTGCAGTCCATGGAACCTGAAGGCAGAGGAGTTAGCCTAGCTCACCAGGATGGATCTACATCCTGCACCCCATGATCTGAGTGATCATGGGTGTGGCTGCTTTGGGTCAAGGAGAGCAACAATCAGAGCTCAGGAGCTGGTTGCAAGGCAGAGGAGTTAGCCTAGCTCACCAGGATGGATCTACATCCTGCACCCCATGATCTGAGCGATCATGGGTGTGGCTGCTTTGGGTCAAGGAGAGCAACAATCAGAGCTCAGGAGCTGGTTGCCCTTGGGCATCCTGGTCTCCAGCTCTGTTCCTCATCCAACCATGCTGGCTAGAAAGCCCACGAAGACCCTGTGCTGCACGGAGGGCCCAGTGGGTCCTGCCTAGGAGAGACATAACAAGAATAGCACAGGGTCCTGCAGGCCTTGGGGACAGGGACCGAAATTTGGCCAGAGACCAAGAAGAGAATATTGCAGCTGGAAAGCTGAGAGGAGGCACCTAGATCTTGTCTCAGAGTCCTGCACAAGTGGAGCATCAGACTCACAGCTTGGTGACGAGCACCCGTGTTCTCCTCTTTTCTTTTCTAAAGTCTTTATGTGGTTACAATAAAATGGTAAAGTAAGAACACTTCCATGACACTAATGTAAACATCCAGCATCAAGTGGAGATGTATCTTGTATAAGATACAAAGGTGTAGGATCAGATTGGGGGAGAAAAGAGGACAAGCCGCCAGCAGCCCAGACAGGTGATTGAAGGACTGAGTCCAGGCTTCTTCAGTGCACTCAGGCGGGAAGGGGGTCCAGGGCAGGGTGAGTGGGTGTGTGGCAGTAGAGGGAAGGGAGAGAGTGGGTTTTGGGCTTATCAGAGGGTTAACTAATGATTTGCTTAATTTGTGGCCCACCCAAGGTAGACAGAAAACAATCAGGAAACAGAGGAATTGAAAAACCCAATTATCAAGATCAAACCCAGATGACATTTTAGCAATGAATATTAAATATCCTTGAGAGGTGAAAAAAATATTGGGTTAGTAATTCAATTTCTGGAACTTTGCCTGTGAGGAAACAATAACCAGATATACACACAAACAGAAATAAAGGCTATTCACTATAGCATTGTTCATAATAGCTACAAATTAGAAAAATCTTAAATAATTAATTTTCAGGGATTGGCTAAATAATATGTAAAAGCACCATACTATGAAATCAAATAGCTTTATTATATGACGTTCTCACATAATTTTACAGTTTTGAAAATGCTTAGTTTCTTATTAAATAAAACTCTAGGTTATGAAACAGTGTTCATTGTATTCCCACTACTCAAAAATGTACATATAAAATAAAATACAGAAAAAACTAGGATAACACTGCATCTTAAAGAACTAGAAAAACAAGAACAATCCAAACCTAAAGTTAGTAGAC